GAACGAAGGACGGCAGATGGACAAAACGCATTCTTGAGTGGAGACCCAGACAAGATGCCTTTAGGAATAGAGGACGACCACCAACAAGATGGACGGATGACTTGAAACGGACACATCAAAATTGGATGCAGGCGGCTCAGGACAGAAATTTGTGGGGTGAACTACGGGAGGCCTATGTTCAGAAGTGGACGAGTATGGGCTGAATGATGATGATGATGATGACGGCAAAAACGACTTAGCATCGGGGTATATCATATAAAATAAATATTGGAGTAACTGCAGTAATTAATGACTGAAGGATAATTTAACAAAAAATACACTCTTTTAAATTAAATTAAATATTTACAAAGCAATAACAACAAACAGAACATGTTAAAAATTTATAAGGTCAACTAATGCAAGTTGTTAAACTTTAAACCTCAATTTCTCATTTTAACCTCACTTGTAGATACCACTTTAGCACGGCAGCACACATTTACCAGTGCATGATTTATCTGGCCTTACTAGCTGTTATGGTGTCAGATTCTGGTATATTATGTTTCCTATGAGATTTAGGATGAGTCTTTTGGATATCTTAAAAAGATCATATAGAAGATAGGTTGATTCGTAAATTTTTTTTCTGGGTCCTTAAGTGCTATTAACTTAGTTTTCCTTCAGTTCTTGGCAACTGGGTTTAAGTTTTCTATTCCTTTTATACATATATCATTGACATCCCCTGAAAACTATGGTAGGAAAATCCCTAAAGCAGTCCATATTTTACAGGATCGCAGCCAATAGAGATAGCAAGCTAACACTATTTAGTGTCACCACGCCCTGACAAAGACTCAAGGAATGAGGAGGATTTTGTCCACGCGGGTTTCCCCCGGCCTGCTCATGTGATTATTTCATTATTTTTTCTTTTTAGTATGATTCGCTTGAGTTAGATCATGGAATTTTTTTCGTTTATTAAACAAATGCCCCCAAATGTACGTCTTTTCTCTTCTCCTGATTAAAAAACCAGTGGTTACATTCATATTATATTTTTGGAGCTATTTTATAGTATGTGTGAAGATCACAATGGACATCTCTATTAGATGACAAGTAACAGAAAAACAAAAACAAGACCAAGAAAACCAGAAGTATTTTAACATTGTTTTGTTATCAATATGTATAAATACTCAACAAAAAACAATACTTTTAAGTGCTATTGTTCTGTTAAAAGAAGATTAACAATACTTCTGACGAAAGATATTATTAAAAAATAAGATTTTACTAAACGATATGGTGATAAAATCAATTGAATATTAATTTTCACAATTACAAATATCTTGATGGTGATATAAAATGTACTTTAGATATATAAATCAAATTATTATTCGGGCGCCTATATATTAACTAAAATATACAGACTAATAAATGAAAACCCCCTAGAGAAATCCCCATAAAGGGATCCACACTATCTGACTTATCTACCAAGATTGGTAATATGTAGTACTGGGTAGATTACAAATACTAAAATCAGAAAAATCAATGCACCTAGACAAATCACTGATAGACGAACGAAAATAATTGATAAATAAAAAATAGCTACCTCGAATTGTATAGGACATGGTTCAAAAAATAAGAAATAAACGACGAACTAAAAATAGTAATAAAAACATCAGTCACAACTAAAACAAAAAAAAATTGGAAATTAAAAATTTGATCGGATACAAAATTATAAACAGTAGAGTATATATATCAAATGTGAAAAGGTCGCTGCAGTGTCGCTAATTGATTAGAAGTGGACACCTAAAATGATAAAGCGGAAAAACTTTTGTCAGAGCTAGACAGAATAACACAAAACGGCATAAGTTCAAAACCCAGAAAAGCCAGTTTTATATAAGTACAGTCATTATATATATATATATATATACACTTCATCTAATTTATATAACGATGCACGTCATCGGCATCATAGCCTGTGACGTCATATGATACCAACACGAAATATTTAGGGTTTAGGTGTGTTCTTTTTAGAATCACTTTACCGAGTACACTGGCATTACAGCCACTAGACATATTTTATTATATACGCGTTGAAATAATATTTAAAAATATCTATTAATGTTAACTTAAAGAAATACACAATAATATGTTTCATTTAATTTGTATAAATCCATTATAAAGAGTTTTATCAAGAACATTTGTTCGGAACACACTGTAACTGTAATCGAACGAAGGTAAAATTTTGGCATAAATTGGTAACACTTATTTGACAGTTGCGGTGTTTACACTTTTTGTACTTTATTATTTTAAATTTAAAAGTGAACACCTCTTGTTTTATATTTTTACCTATTTAATAAAATCTGTTCTATTTAGAACAAAATTATTGTGTTTTATTTCAAAAATGTCACGTAAGAATTTAAATAGTCGTTGTAAAGAGATGGTAACACTTTTGCAATAATTATGTGACCAATTTGATTTAAAATGGAGTCAGGATTTTTTTATACTTTGGCAACTATGTCAACTTCGATCTCTGACGTAGATAATGACGTAAGTCGTTATCTAAATTAGATGAAGTATATATATATATATATATATATATATATATATATATGTATATATACAAGAAATACTGGATATTAGTACTGGATATTAAACAAACAACACAGTTTATTAGGGTTGCAGTCAGAATATTGGCAGGGATGTTGTGATATTTTTTAAATATTTACATATCTGTCTTATTACAGTGTCTTGAAAAAGGAATAAAACCATTCCGAAAGCTCGACAAAAAGTCAAAAGAGTGTTTTTTTAACATCCCTGCCAATATTCTGACTGCAACCCTAATAAACTGTGTTGTTTGTATATATATATATATATATATATATATATATATATATATTATATATATATATATATATTATATATATATATTAAGGATCACTCAAAGAGTGGTGGGTTTTTCGGTCAAAAGGTGGAGAAAAAAGAGACAAAGAAGGGGTAACTACTTCATCTATTTATTGAAGACGTTTCGCTTTATAATCAGAAAACATTATCAGTTCATCTAAAAAGAATAGTATGAAAAGCTAAACATCCATAGAAAAGTTATTACAAATGTGTTACCTCAAAAATATATGTAGCAGTTAACGATATTAAATGTGTAAAAAAGCTAGAAACTAGATTCAGTGAAATACAGTTAGTGAAACTAGATACAGTCTATAAATTAACAAACTTAGCACAGCAAAAGAACATGTGATAATTTTATATGTATATAAAAAATTTATGTAAAAAACTTAAGTAAAAAACATAAAAAGTAATATGCAGAGAACTAGAAAGATCGTAATATGTACTTCCAACAGTATATTATTAGCTAAATTTAATTTTGACCTTACGTAACATTATTAATAAATTAAGATTGAAATATAATATTTAAAAGTAAAATGAAGTTACCAGTCTTTAGCTTATTAGGTGCTGAAGGTAAATGAAAGCAACAGGTTTAACACCCACGCAAACAACGTGAAAAGACAGTGGCCTTGAGATCAAAATATGAGAGAACAACAAGGCAGTTACCAACCTCTCGTACAATAGAGCAGTACATTTAAAGAATATGATAAATTTGGGTGACAACTTGTCAGTAAAAACCAAAAAATGAAAGAAAAAGGTGGTTAAGATCACCATTTTCTTAGTGCCTTTAGAATTACATCGACAGTACCATTGCAGATCATTGATACCATTTTGTCAATACTTCTCCAAGCAGAAGAGAGACGCCTTGTGTTCAAAACTGAAAACGAACATGATCCTTTAATCAGAAGAGAAAATAGAGAAAAAATTCTTAGTGCATGGTAAAACAAGTGATTCGAACTGACATTAAAGGCTCAGTGGAAGAAGTGGTTAATACCAGATGTTAGTACCTGGTACAAAAATACAAACCTACAAACTATTACTTCAAGCAGTTTCTAACTGCACAAGGTCACTCCATAGCATACACGTATAGTAACAGGAAGACAATCGATGACCTCTGCAGACATTTTGGCGTATTAGATGATGCGGAGCATTGCATCTTAGAGTGCGGAGCGTTGCATCTTAGAATGCGGAGCGTTCGTCGAAGAAAGCAAAAAGTTTAAGAAAATGCTAGTAAAAGTAACACCTGAAATATTATTTAAAGATCTTCTATTGACAGTAAACCGTATAAAAAATGGTACAGGTTATCACTCAGATAATTAAGTGAAAGGAAATGATAAATAACCTTACTTTCTTCAGTACCTAACCTCTATACTCTCTCTACCTCAGTCTGTCCTTTTTTTCTGCTCCAAACTATGCAAATATTCCCAATCAATAACGTCAATCTCTTCAAAGATGTGTTTTCCTTTCTCTCTTCCTAAAGTTATATGGAATAGCGAAGTCTCCAATGTTACGTTCACCAAGAACAAGTTCCGGAAGCGTCGTTGAAAAAGAGGGGGGTAGTTTTAGCTAAGAGCAGGCGGTCATGAGTATATGCATAGACACATCTCCTTAAGGAGAAATGCGTGCTTATGGTCCATATACGTACCGAAACAAGCATTCATTGCTTGAACTGAGCAACTGAACACTGAGCCGCAGTTTGCAAAATATAGATTGCCATGATGGTCGCCAACATCCAAAATGGATAGGCACTACAAGAAGAAGAAGAACTGAACACTCACTAAATTACAAACCGAAAGGACGAAGATGAAAAAAAAAAGAACAAACACTAAGTTTGGAAATTAAGAAAGTGAAAAAGACTTTATTCTAGAATATATTTAAAAGTTTATCTTTACTGATCAATATAAATAAATGAATACAAATCAGAACAGAGTCCATACATATGATGCAAACGTGATAACATCGATATCAACATTTAAGAACATTTAAAAAAAGTACATTCATAACAATGGTACAGATAATATCTAGATAAAAAATTTCAACATTATTTCTTAGTATTATTATCGTAATTATCAAGATATATCTCTTTTCCTAGATTTGTAAGTATGTTTAAAAAGGGATGTGAAGTAGTCACTCTTGGTTTTTGTGTAGTTGTTTTCATTGTGAAATGATTTCAAAGTTCACCCTGGTTTTCTTGGTATGCATTGTCGCATTAGGTAAGAAATGTACAATATAAATATATATATATATATATATATATATATATATATGTATTATTTGTTTTTGTTTATATAACAAAGGATTTTTATTTGTCATGAATTTTTTGTTTTTTCTATAATTTTTTCCAGTACGAAGTTAAATAGTCATGAGATGAAACGGTACATGGTATAATAAATGCTGAAAATATAATATCTCATATTAGGGTGCTGTCTAGTACAGAATATACAGCAATTATGACAATATTATATGTGTGTAATTATATGAATTTAAATTGATTAAATAAAAATTAAGTGAAAAATGATCCAGTAAAATTGAATTAAATAAATAAATATTACTTACATTCCGATACAAGGATTTTTATTAACTGTTTGAGAAAAAATAGTTAAAAAACTGTTATGGTAAACTGGTGACAGGTGATCATCGGTTTTACTGTAACGATTTAACGAATAAAGGGATAGTTCTTGAGGGAAAAAGATTAAACAACAAGACTAGGAATGTAGATATTGTGTAAATTGTTTGTTGAAAATTAAATGTGATGTATTATAATATTTAAAATATATTTATATTTATTGGAGAGGTTTATTTTTAAAATATACCTATATTATATATATTGTGGCTAAACACCCCATACGGGGTTACGCCGCTTAAGCTCTCTAGATCTATTTTACGAGGTAGATCAGTCCTCATTTTCTTTATTTAATTTTTCTTGTTATTTTTCTCTACTGTTTCCTATCTCTGGTTTTTTCTCTCCATTGTCGTACGCCCGCCCTGTTGAGATCGTTTGTTACTTCTTGTAGCCATGTAGATCTTGGTCCACGTCTTCGTTTACCAGCTGGTGTTCATTTCAATATTGAGAATATTGTCGTAGATGGTCCTGATCTCCATATATGTCCTAGCCATTTTGCCCTTTGCTGTTTTATTTTACAAACTATATCCTCTTTAATTTCGTTTAGTAGTTCATGATTCGTTCTTTGTCTATATTGGTTTTCATTAATTTTTATTGGTCCTAATATTGCTCTTAGTATTTTCCTTTCTAGTATTCTAAGGTCTTCCTCTTGTTTTTTTGTCATGCTAAGGGTTTCGGCAGCATACATCATAGTCGGTCGAATTATTGTTTTATATATTTTCATTTTCGATTTTTTGCTCAGTAATTTATTTTTTAGAAGCTTTTTATTTGCATAGTATGTCTTATTTGCTGTAATTATCCTTTCTTTAATTTCTGTTTCCCTTTCTCCATTGTTTGCTAATACTATTCCCAAATACTTAAACTTTTCTACTTCTTCAAATATATATTCTCCCAGTCTAACCTTTTTGTTTTCATATTTTTTGTTAAATCTCATTATTTTTGTTTTTTCTTGATTTATTACTAATTCCATTACTTTCCCTTCTGCTACCAATTCTTTTAACATACTTTCCATTTTTTTTTTCTGTTCTTTGTTATTATCACAATATCGTCGGCATATGCTATTATTTGTCCCTCTCTCGTTCTAAGTGTACCTTTGTTGATTTTTCTGACTATATATTCCAGGGCAAGATTAAACAGAGTTGCAGATAATGAATCTCCTTGACGTACACCTTTATTTATAACAAATTCTTCTGTGTCTCCTTCTTGCGTTTTTACGGTTACTACGGTTTTGCTCATTGTCATTTTTATTAATCGTCTTAATTTGTTGTGTATTCTCATTTCTCTCATAGTTGTAAGTAATTTCGCTCTGTTTATTGAATCAAATGCTTATGTACCTATATTGTTTATTGAAATATTTATTTAGAACAGACAGCACTGTGACAATTTGGAAAAAGATAGATGTTCTATTTTTTTTATGTAAGTTTGGGTGTGCAATAACTCCAACTTGTAATTATCAAGTAAAGACGAACCAATTTTGGTCGGTAATTGCACAGAAAACAATTATTGTGATGTCCGTTAAAATTAAAAACACTTAAGGACAAACATAACACATTCAAAAATACATTTAATTTAAAAAGGGGGTATTTTGTAGCACTACATCACTGATATGCAGGAAGAACTGGCAAACAGTGACTTGTTTAAAACGATATATTAGTACGTCACATTTCTGAATTATTAGTGTGATTACTAGTTGCTTTTAATTATAAACTCATGTCGGTTCTATATTGCGAAATTAGTAGTAATAGACGATATCAATAGTAAAAGCGGTCCTAATAGTATCATCCCAGCAGGAGAAGGAGAGAAGGTGGCAATATGGAACCCCATTATGTTTTTCCTACCTAAATTTTTTAGTCTTTTGTGGATCGACAAAAATTACATTTATTAAGGAAATTAACATCCTGAAAACAGTTTAAAAAAAATTTTGAAAACGTGTAATTTTCGCTTGTTGGAAAAAGTGATGATAATATTATGGTCTTCCTGAAACTTGATCAACATTATCATCAAAAAGATATAGATTCATGCTAAAGTCAACAAAAATTAAAGGTATAGGGTTCTAAAACTAATAATACATATAACTATTGACAAAAATCACAAATATAATTTTCTTTTTCGCAGTCTGCGCAATTATAATGGTTCCTTATTTCGTACATCATGCACTGCACATTTGTATCCTCGGAAAATTTCCCCTCGCAGAAACTATAAATTGCATTATCTACTGAATTAAGTACTCTCTCTAAACAATTGTTTGGACCAGTAGCTGAGCTAGAAACAACACTGTCCTACCCTTCTTCAGATGTATCTCATTCTTCTTTTGCTTTCGTTTTTTTGTCAGCTTTTGAGAGACAGAAAATTTGCCAAGATTTTTCTAGCCTTATCTTTTAAGTCAATCAAATGCTTGTTTTGAGAGTTTTTTTTGAGGGTTCTGCTTTCTGAAAATATTTTTCAAACCCTAAACTGAGAAGAAACCCATTAACAATTGCGGACAACGCTTAAATAATCCAAGATATGTAGACGATACAATATTAAGAGCAGAGAGTTAGAGAAGAACTAGTAAAACAAGTTAAGGTTTAAAATAAATTTTAGTAAAACACAGACAATGACAAATACAGAAGAAAATATATCTATTGGAATAAGACAACAAATCGTAGAGTAATAAAAAAAATTAGGGCATGTTTATGTCCAACATTGGACGAATAAAGCTTATTGAGATAAAGAAAGAGATAGATACGAAAAGTCGAAAGTCGAAGATTTCTTAGTTTTTAAAACCGAAAATGACTTGACGGAAAAGATTTGATTTTACTTGTTCATTTAGTGCTTCTGTACAGTTACTCTGAAGAGTCCTGAAAGCACGAAATGTGAATAAGTCAAGGCACTATACTAAAATCAAATTCTAACTGATGTATTAATCATTGTGTTATTTTCATTTTTACTCTATTTTTTTTTTGACTTAATTTATATTTTTTATACTTAGCGATAGGCGAGCCAACAGTTCCAGAATGGAGTCACACTTACAGCGTTGAAGGAATAATCTATTTGCCATATGCAGAAATAGAAGAGCCTTTCCATGCTTGGTAAGTAATTTCACCTGTTAAGTTTAACAGTTCTCTTAAGCGTTACAAGCACTTTACACATAATGAAAAGCAAGACAAAACTTATATATTTTAAAGTGGCTTTTAAAATGGTATTGCCAGTATTTTTGAGGTTTATTCTTGGGACAATTTTTTTATAGAGTAGTTAATTTGATTACTTGAACTTAGTAATACGATCTCATTGAGTGATACTCAATATTAATATCACGCTATAACTTGTTATAATTATATTATTTAAAACTAAAAGTGATGATGATGAGTTATTAACATACTACAATCAACTGTTTTATGTAGCTGTATCTAAAATACAAACAGCAATGATGAGCGTCAAACTTCGAAACGGTGACAGCACGCGAAGAGGAATAATGAGCTCAGAAAAAACATGATATAGATTAAAATGTTACTATTAATTATTACTTTAACTAAGGATGTTCTCTTAAATATTAATATAATTGATTAGGAATGAGCGTTTAGCTTAATATAATTGATTAGGAATGAGCGTTTAGCTTTTAACTATAAGCCATGTATCAATACCTAGGTAATTAGGTACTTAACTAAGCGACAGTTGAAATTCTAAATTGTACTTCGGAACGGTTTTTAAATAAAAGCAGGTTTCAGTAGTTTTTAAATTTTATTTCGAACTGAGCTTTTTTTTTTGAATTAGGGTATCTTTAAGTAAACACATAAAAAAATAAAATATTAATTCTAATGGCAAATATGCTTATGAATACAAAAAAATTCACCATACCCTAAAGATCTCAAAGTACACACCGAGGTTGGTACTTTGGAACATAAGTATGTAGATTTTGAAACGCTTATTTATTGCACGTTAAATGCAGATAAATCGGTAGAAAATCATGTCATCTCATCATTTCTTCTGGCAGTGCTCCTCACTACTGAAGGGACTCCTAGTTTCATCACCATATCTTCGTCAGGAAAGTCATAGACAGTTCCATTTTCGAAAAGAAATTTGGTGGCACAGTTACTTCTTTTTAGGTATCTAACTTTAAACCCATCATCGTTCACTCCAACGACATTAGCAGCAAAATATCGTTTTGTCTTTTTTGTTGCAATTTGTGCTAAAATAAAATCTCCCACACAGGGCTTGTTGCCAGAAGAAAATATTTATCTTCCTCTTCTGCATTGGCAAAATCCACGTCATCTAGTGAGTCGTCGCACGTTATTTCGCTTTCTTTTATTACATCTTCATCAGGACTACTATTAAAAAACTTTTTGGTTGCTTTTTGTTTTTTTAAAACAAAATTTTTCGTGGTTTTAAGGAGCGCCATCATTTCAATCTCGTTCTTCTCTAGGGTATCTGTAACTATTCTACAGCGCTCTAGTTTCTTACCTCCTTTCTTCATAAATTTTCTCGCAGCAGCCTTGGAAAACGGGCAAATTTGTTCGGGACCTTTATGTTGATTTAATTCATTGTATACTAAGGAAGAACTAGGATCATTAAACATACTAGTTGTTTCTGAAGGCATTCCTAGACCCTCTACAGAAATATTCGAGGAACTATTAGTTTCGGAGGTATTTTGATTATTTCTTGACTCTTCGGCAACTGGTGGTCTATCCGTAACATATGAACTGTCAAATTCGTACTCCTCGAAAATGTTTCTGTTGCTTGGAAAAATTCCAGAAGCGGTAAAACCAGACTGGATATTTTTCTGTGTAAATGCCTTCGCATTCCCAACATACTCTGCAATATCATAATATTTCTTTAGAGGCCTGAAAACCGACCTATCTAACTGTTGTAGCTTGTGGCTGGTGTGGGGTGGAAAGGTAAGCATGACGACTCCCGATGATTTTGTTAAATTTAAAGCTTCCACTGAAATGTGGCTCTCATAATTGTCGACAATCAGTAGTGATTTATTGCCAGTACTTGAATTTGTATGTTTTATATAGTGGTTTAAATACTCAACAAAAATCGTAGAGTTAGACCATCCACTAGGATTCGCGCTCCCAACACTACCTATTGGAGACCCTTTCAGCATTACCTATAGACCCATCCTTAAAAAACACACGCGTAAATACGAATAAAGCAGGTACACAATTACCAATAGCATTGATACAACAAATTAGAGTCACGTTTACACCTCTTTCAGCCGATGTGATGCTGCAGACTTGTTTAACTCCTTTCATTTCAATAACACGAACCGTGGTATGCACCGAGGTTAGTCCGGTTTCGTCTAAATTATAAATTCCATCCGGACTAAATGTGTATCTTACCATATGTTCCTCCAGTTTATCAAAAAATAAATTAGCATTTGTTTTATTAAATGCTGTCGATCTGGCTAGACTTGTTGCTTGTGGTTTACGTAATGATACAGATGGATGTGTTCACAGATAGAACCTGTAAAAAAATATTTACCCTTATGAACTAAAAATGAAAAACTTTTTTTACCTGTACCACTCCTTTCCTGCTTTTTGGTTTGTATCCCAGGAAGAGGGAAAATCAATATTATTTACACATGCGTAATTATATGCTAACTTTCTTAATTCGATAGTTGAGAGGCCGTAATGCATATTGGCACAAACGGTAACATGCTTTAGTAGCTCTTCCTCGTGCTGTTTCGTAAAGACTAACTTAACGTCTTGTGATGTACTATATATAAAATGTTCTTGTCCAGATTCTCTGTGTTTCTTAAAGTCTGCGCTGGCTTGTCTTAGACTAAGCTGTTTTTCCAATACAACATTAGCAACGTTTTCGACGTTTTACGCTATAGGTTTTATTCTTTTAACGTCTGTTTTGCTTCTTGGCATCTGTAAGCCAAAAAATAAGCGTTTAAATTTTTATAACCGTCTACAGTCCATACAACTTGTACTTTGAACTACGTCCGCGTACTTTGGAACATGGTCCAAAGTACAATTCAGACGACGTTTCAAAGTACACGATATTCATATGTTTAAAATATTCGCTTTTTATTACCCAAAATAAACACAATTCTCTGCAAAAACTAAGAAAATATATTGCTTAAAACTTCTATATTTGTGTAAATATAGACAAAATATAAGAATATTAATATACTCACAGTTACTTTATTCGATGGCAGAGGATTCGAAAATACAACAATGGTCACGCCACAAACAAACAAATTTAACTGTCGAGTTTTTAGACCGATCTGCTTCATATTACGAGTTCTGCCCTCTGTGAGCGCATAGGAACGTTATATAACTATAGAAAATGTCACACTGAGAGTGCAGTACGGGTAAGATACGGAAATGTTTTTCTTATGGAGAATAAACGCTACTTGAAGGCAATTATTTTATCAATATATTATTTTATAATAAATAACAGAGCCCGGCGTAGAGATCTGGGTACGGTTATGTGACTACCACTTGGACCTGTTTGTATCGCCAAGCACAAGGCGTGAAATCCGGCAATTGTGCATTACTATATTAGCCGTACTTCACTCTCGGTGTGACATTTTCTATAGGTAATGCACCTGAACCGCTAGTATGCTGTAAAAGTCCGAACGTTTCAATGTACAAGCGGTCTCAAAGTACAAGGATCTCCCTATACGATACTAACTAATATCTTTTTCTTCTTCTTCTCTTTATATAGACATGACTCTGTCTGTTTTTTAATGTGCCTCCTAGCACTAACCAATATGTGACACTAAATTCTAAGCGTGAGTTATACAAACTATAACCAGGTAATGCGTCGACCCACTTGGTCAAATACTACAACGATACTGAATACTTAAAAATTCTGATTGTAATGCCTAACTAAAAACCACCTTTTGAATGTTTTTAACAGGGAAATTTGGGGAATTGGTCGGAGAAAGTTAATGTGCGGGTAAAAATATCTATGAATTCATTATCGGTTTTCATAAGAATTTGCTGGAGAATTTATCTCGGTAGATTTTAAGAAGGTAATTGCTACCAATAGCGTAGCAACACTTGGATACATTTCTTACAGAAATTTATCCAAAACTTTTATAATTTTTGTATACTTATAATGGTATAGCTATTTAAAATAAACATTATATCGCGAGAATATTTAAATCTTTAAGTATTTCATAAAAAAACCTCGTTTAATAATTTTAATTTGTTTTTCTTGCAGGTATGATGGCAAATCTAAAAATTCGCGCATTGATTACTACGATGGGATGGTTAAAACGTACCAACTTGGAGAAAATGGAAATGGTGTCCAACTGAAAGTCATTCCATTCACTACAGAGGAAGTTCTAAACCAAATAACGTGTTTCCAGGTTAATGGAACTGAAGACGATCCAGTAACATCTCAATCGATTTTACCAGATTTAGAAGGATTTGAATATGATGGTAAGTTAAAAATGATTAAAACATAATTTTTTGAAAATAAATTTAATTTGACCTGGAAGTCTTGATCAAGTTGGAGGAGCCGAATAGACAAAAATTTTAGCGATAGGGGCATAGAAAATGAGAGATAGAACGTATTCATACTATGTTTATATTATATATACACACACTATAAATCCCGATGTACGTTATTATCTACGTCAGAGACCTCAGTTGACATTGTTGCCAAATTAAAAAAAAAATTCCTGAATTCATTTTAAATCAAATATGTCACATAATTATTGCAGTAGTGGATTAAGTAATTGAGTATTTAAAAATGAGTTAATAAAATGATTAAGTTTCAGTTTTCTTATAGATGCATTCCAATTGTGCATATAATGGTTTTATATAATTTGTGAACAATGTAAAAAAAATGTGGTACTTAAAAGTTACACAATAGTACATGCTTCTGTTTCCAGATTTTAGTCTCTCTTATACTTTTTTTACCCATTTTATCTTTTGTTAGAAAGACTTTGTTTCATCATCAATTTAAACCTGTACAAAAAGGAAGCTTAATTTTAATGCTCAAAGAGCAATAAGATGCTTTACTCACTCATCAGTTTCTATGTCACAGCTGCTACTGGAATTACTGTCATCGTTTATATTAATTATAATAGATAGAATTTCCTGTATATCTAGTATATGCTCCCCGTTATACTGCTTTTAATTAGATTTTCTGTATGACTAATTTTGCCATACCTAGGTGTATCAGTTTGTAGAGCTTCTTTCCACATGTTTAGAGCACCACAGTCTTTATAGCCATCTCTACCAATATGTCGGTTATAATAGTTTTTGGTAATTCCCCATATTAATTCTATAGCATTAAAAATACAGTGTTAGGCCCGACGCAAATTGAGCACAGCCCACGCACATCCCACGTGCAGCCCACGCGAGGGCTATTTTGTAAAACGTGGTTTTAGACGGAGCGACGCATATTAAACCCGAACCACGGCCAGGCTACTGCCAGACTTGGTTGGCGTGGATAGAGTTGTGCTAGCAACACAGTTTCGTGGGTCGTGGGTCTCTACCTAACCTTAGTTATTTTGTTTTGTGTGACCAATTTTTTGTTATTCAGTGAAAATGGAAAAGTTTATTGAAATTGTTCGAAGCTTTAGTGTCTTGTATGATACTAGTAATGAAGATTACATGAGAACAAAACTAATATTTTCTTTATTTGTGCTAAGCGACTCGGATGTAAGTCGCCGTTATAATTATTAAAAAAAATTAATTTAAATTATTTTTTTATTAAATCAAATGAGAAATATAACAAATCTATAACTAAGGAAAAAAAAAACAAATTTTCATTTCCTAGCAAAATGTTTATGAACACCTAAGATGAAAACTTCAAAATAAAATTTGATGATACTTTTTCGTGATGCTCATATTGTAATGGCTTTTATACACTGAAATTAAATTAAAAAAGAACATGAAGAAAGTAGAAAAATAATAGTTTTTTGTTGAAGGATTTCAATTTTTTACCCTTAGCATTTGTGAAAGTTTTCAAGATATTTATATTTTCAGATTAGAAATTGTTAGTGGGATATTAGGTAAAAATTAAAAGGTCTTTAGAAAATAAAATCTTTATTTAAACTAATATACTGAAGACAGTTTATCTTTTCGTTGAATGGTATTTGCGAAAACAATCTCCTATGCATAGTCCAGGTTTTTCGTCACAATCAGCACACTCGTAAATTGTGTTTTTCCTAATTTTATGGATAGAACATATTCCACACAAATATTTGACATGGGCGTGGGCTGTGTTCAATATGCGTTAGTATTGAAAAACGTGTACTTGGACTAGGTTGGACCATACGTGGGCTGTGCTCAATTTGCGCCGGGCCATGGTGGCAGAGGTAAAACTTTATGACCGTATGGTTCTGCTAAATCATCAACAATGTATTTTGGAGGTAACTTGTTTCTAAATATAAATACTGATAACCTGAACTAAACACTTATTAGGCGTTCTTCCTACGCAACAATCTGCCAAAGCCTATTTTTTTTCTTATTTCAGTCTTAGTTGAAGAAATGTTTGATGCTTTCTGTAACAACTTGCTATGGTATGGAGCGTTATCCATTATAATTAGGGATGGTTCAGACAAACTTTTTAATAGTTGAGTTTTTAAACCGATTTTTAAGCCGGTTTAGAGGAAAATATAACCTCTGCACCCTCAATGAAGTTATTTCATTATCAGAATAATATATATATATATATATATATATATATATATATATATATATATATATATACAAAAAAAAAACATTTTAACACCTTTATGTTTTTAATATGAGTAAATATATTATAGTTTTCATTAGTTTTAATAGACTTTGGACTTCTTTTAATATCATCTTGCCATAAGCGGCATATGTTCCATTCTGCAAAATCCAAGTTTCATCTATAAAAATGCACTTGTATAGTTCTTCATGTTTATATTTTTGATATAATCTCAAAAATTCTGCTCTCTTTAGAGCAATATGAGATTGTTCCATCCAACCAATGTCTTTCAGTACAATACTGAGTGAAATACTACAACCACTAAATAGTTCTTTTTCCTTCAATTGAATCCATAAAGAGGTCAAAGTCACATGTTCTTCTGAAAAGAAATAAGTTTGATTTCATATTAAACAAATCTGTTTAACTTAATGATATCTAACGAAAAGTATACTTACTTCATTCATACATATTGTAAATTGTATTACGAATTTCGTTTGTATTTATTATTTCAATATTGGTAGCTTTCTTAGGTTTAGTGCGTTTTTTGAGTGGTGATATTAAAAGTGTACCTATTGGTCTTTACTGCCTGAGAGATAGAACTAACAACTAACAGTTGAGATATGTAAATTTAAAGCTGCCGCTACACACTAAGACAAGAATGTATGTTTTAAGCATCTATATAAACATAAAAAATAGAACAGAAAGACGGTTTCAGATTTAATTTCAATGCAGGGCATCTACCATCTACTTATACGTATTTCAACTTCATTAGGTATCATCAAAGCGACATAAGCAGAGTCTCTGAATCTAAATTAAATCTCTTCCGTTATAGTACAAAAATTATAAAAATAATTAATTACAGACGTTACAACGTCATCTAATAACATTAGAAATCCTAAGATTTCTTACTTGGTGAAACTAAAAATAAAAAAACGGGTGAGGCAATCCAGTGGGACTGCCGGTAGAAGTTATACTTCTATACACGCGTTTGCCATTACAAATTTATATGGGAGTGAATCTGGACAATCATTACATATGTAATGGCATAGGTAAGAGAGAGCAGAAAGAGAAAAATAATTAGGTATATAGGTATATGGTGCATCGTTTGCTGTATATAAACATTTGACCTGTAATGGGAGTATAGTAAATGAAGGATTGAATCAATATTTTAATGAAAATATTTATTTTTATTTTCATATATGTATAAAAGGAGACGAATGCAAAAAAATTACACATACTCTGCAGTAAAATTTATTGTTTATTTTGTTATTAATATAAAAATACATTACAATAAAAATGAAAATGCATTATTCATAAGTATTAAAAAAACAATATACATAACTTACTTACGCATATGTTTAATTTACCATAATAATAATATTAATAAAAAAATAATAATATTAATAACTACTAAATATATTTACAAAAGGAACATTTTTATTCTCGAGAGAAAAAATATATTCTCTGTTTCTCTCTTACCTATATCTTACATATTTAATGATTTTACCGAATCACTCCCGTACAAATTTGCAACGTCTAACGCGCTTAAAGAAGTATAACTTCAAAAATACATTACACACTTTCCTAGCAGCAGTCAACGGTCATTCGGCAGAATAGGGTCGTTATTTTCACGTTCCCGTTCAAAATAATGAATCAAAGAAGCTACAATCTCATTACAATGATTATTTAACTTCTTATGTAATATTTTCGAGTTAAATCACATTAATTGTGTTATAAACAGAACAGCCTTTAATTAATAGTAAATAATAAAAACAAATTTGAAGTGTCAACACCGCAACTGTCAGCTCAGTGTTACCAATTTATGCTAAAATGTCAACTTCATTTGATCGAAGTTAAAGTGTGATCCGAATAAGTGTGATTCATTAAAACGCTTTATAATCCAATTATACAAATTAAATGAAGCAAGTTATGGCTTATTTCTCTAAGTTTACATTAATAGAAATCTGCAAATATTATTTCTACGCATAGGTACATGCACTATGCCTAGTGCCTGTAATTCCAGTGTAGTTGACTAAAAAATTCTAAGAAAGAACATACCTACGACTAGTATCATGTGACGTCTGTTACTATGACGTGCATCGGGATTTATATTATACCAACTGTATATAAATATATATACACATATTATGTTTTAAAACAATGTTTTTCTTTAGGTATAGACCAACTGGGAAATAAGGAAGTAGAGATCTGGTCTCTAAAAACTGTCCAGTTAGAAAAAGAAAACGTCTATACTCTTTCGGTTTTCCGAGACGAACATGGTAGAGCTGTCCCAGTTAAGTAAGTAAAAATGTTTAAACCTAATAATTGTCCAGGTTAAATTTTTCTGCAATATTAAGTTATGTCAGGGAAAGGATTTATGTTTTATAAAGACAAGATTTTAATATAACCAGGAAGGTGTCTTTACCAATGGTTTTAGACACTGTATCTTATTCGGAAAAGAAGTTTAGAAGATAAAAAAGAATGTCAGGTACAGAATTTGAAACATTATTGAACATTTTATGATCGATCTCCTTTCTCAAGTAGTCCCTGTTTATATGTAAACTGTCCGGACTTTGTGACTTGTTTATTAACATAAATGTGGTTTTATTTAAGTTTATTTTAAGACCTTAATTGTTATATTAGTGATTCAATTGTTTCACTAATTTTTGCAGATCTTTCAAAATTGACATTAACAATACAATATTTAGTACTAATAATATATAAGCGATAATATACTACTCAAACTAATGGACAACGTATCAATAGTAATAATCGCAAAGCTACTTAGCAACAATTACAACTCTTAAAAAATACCAACATAATAGCAGAAGTCTGAGTTTGTTGCAATTCCAAAAAAAAACCATCAAGTCAAATTTCTTCAAACCAGTTACGGTTCATAAATGCTGTTGGTACGAGAGAGACTATGTTTTCAATAGAAGTCTTATTCCAAAGATTCAGAGACGTCAATTGTGACGTACACGCATGTCTGGTTGGTTAAGTGAAAGTGCCTGATCGAATATTCCTCGAGATTGAATCTTTCTCGAGATCGCAGATCAACCAATCGTGAATCGTGAATCTTTACACGAAACTGCAAAGGGCATTCTTCTAAACGAGTACCGGCTAAACAAAATCAGATATACAGATGACACCATAGTATTTGCGGGCAACCTCGAAGACCTTCAAGTCCTTCAGCCCTTCTTCTTGTGTGGCCTCTCAACATGAGATGTGGCTGTATCGGAGAATACTTAAGATCTCGTGGACTGATCAAAGTACAAATAAAGAGGTCCTGAAAACAATGCAGAAGAACCGAGAGTTAGTTCACATATCAAATCTTGAAAACTATAGTATTTAGAACACATTACGCGAACTAAAGCCAGATATGCCTTCCTACAAGTCATCCTGCAGCGAAAAATATTTGCATGGAGAGGTCCAGGAAGATAGATTGCCACGATAATCGCCAATATTCGTGATGGATCCCTACATCAAGAAGAAGAGTATCATTAAGAACTTCTTGACAAATAGTCTCGCTGTAAATCTTAAATAAAAAAAAAATTAGATAATAGAAATCCCCGACAAATTTCTGTTTTTTTGGTCAGTCGTTGTGCAACGCTATGTTATTTGGGCAGGGTTTCTCTAGTTAACGGCAAATCTTTTATCATTATATATACTGAGTGCACTCAGTCTGTCCTAATTAGAATATTTCCTAATAACCCGATAAAAAATACTAAAAAGATAAATATACCATTAAAATATATTCTTTGTAGATGTGATCAAAAGATATACCAATGCATCTGATTATATAAAATGTAGGTAATACAAATTATAATACAATCGAACAAAACAAATAATGATTTTTGTTTTTATCAATGATAACAATTCATGTTTGCTTTTGTTACCTACTTGTTTGGATCTAAACCTAGATTTAGGCTTTAAGTTGATTGTCCTACAAATGATTGTTTATTTTTTCAAAACTCTCGTCTAGGATTACTTCATATCCACTTCAAACAGTTCTGATAAAATATGGATAAAAAATACTGACGCACATACTCACAAAAGCTTACAATCATGCATTGATAATAATGAATGAGTAAAGGTTTATTTATTTCTTAAAAATTAAAATATTTAAATGTATATTTATGTTTAAAAAAGATGTTTTGATGTTTAAAAAAGATCATTTATGTTCTTTTTCTTTCTGTTTGGATATTGAGATTGGATATTATTGGAAACTTACATTATACATTTTTGTTTTTGACGTTTCGATTTTATGCCAAACTTCACTTGTCAAATTGGGTAAAACAAAGCGATAAGAAACAATTACTCCTTAAATAATTCCTTATTTTATAATCTTTTTTTTTTGAAAACGATTTCTAGATATGTAATCGTAAATTTTGCCAAAAATAAATGTAAAATGTACTTTCTATCACAATTAATTGTGATTCAATTGCATGAAAATAAAATATTTAATTTAAATATGACAAAAGAAAACAGTCTCAGAACCTCTTATTAACAGTTGTTTTAAACGTTCCGTTTGTGGTGCAACCAAACCACTCTTAAGTTTCTCATTCAGGATATTTTTCTTTTTAATTTCGTAGAATTGTGTATTATTATTCAGTTTCAGCAAGGACATAGGTTCTTATAACCCTGCGGTGCACGGGTTGGGTCTGTCAGGCCCATTCAGTTCTTCTAATATCTCTATTTGGTCAGCGAGTCTAAGTACGGTCCTGGCGGTCTAGGTACCTTTCGTCGGCATAGCTAGCTATAATCCCTCAGTTACGAATGCGAATTGAAGCAATAGTGTCGATGATATATCTGTTTTAGTTCTTTCAGACCCAACCCGTTCCTTAATGTAAGTTTTTTTTTATGAAAGTACAAAGCAAAATTAGCAGTATATTGTTTTTAGAGCTTAGCAAAACAATGTATTCTTACGAGAGAGAGGCAAAACATTTGCAACGTCTCTACGAGGAAGAAAATTATGAAGATTCAGATTCCGATGAGTCTATAATTGGCAACTTAGAACATGAAGATGCTAATCATAACTCAGAGTCTGAATTGGATTTATCAGACACCGAATTAAACGTACAAGAATGTATTCCACAAGGTAAGTCAAACCAACCCCTTTATTACAATACCAAAGATGGAATGAAATGGAATAAGATATGCGGATCACTAGACGAGAAAATATCATAACAAAACTTCCTGGAGTTATACGTAAAGCGAAAAGTTGCAAAACTGAAAAAGAATGCTGGGAAATGTTTTTTAATGACAAAGTTATAAAACATATTGTTGAATGTACTAATGTATATATCGAGCGTGTGTCCGTGAGATATAAAGACAGTTCCGATGCGAGGCTAACAAATATATGTGAACTAAAAGCTCTGATTGGTCTGCTTTACTTAGCTGGAGTTTACCGTGGAGGTAGAACTTCAATTTTTGAGTTTTGGGAAAGAAATGGTACGGGCATTGACATATTTTCGGCAACGATGGCTCTCGGCAGATTTTGATTTCTTATGAAGTGCTTACGCCTAGATGATATTCGTACAAGAGACGAACGGACACAAGTAGACAAACTTGCAGCAGTTAGAGTCGTATTCGAGGATGTAGTTGAAAATTTTCAAAAATATTATACAATTGGCTACTATGTCACTATCGATGAGATGCTTTTAGGCTTAAGAGGTCGTTGTAATTTTAATAATAATAATAATAATAATAAAGGTCTTTAATTTCCTTCAAATTCACACAATACACAAAATATATAGAATTATACATGCATACAATATAATAAGAAAGAAAAAATGCCGAAGATCAGGTGGTGCTGATTTCAAGAAATCAGTACCTCTGCTTTCCATCTTAAGCAAGAGAAAAAATATATATTTTTTTACATGTTCTGTAACAATCAAATAAAAACCATAACTAATAGAAATATTTAGCATTTAAATATTGTCCACGAACTATCACACAGTTTATACATATTTCATAACAGGTCATCAAATAGTTGCACATGTTTTAGTCACTTAGCAGTTAGATTTAAGAGATTTCTTAAAAGATATAATTGATTTTAATTTTAATTCTTTAGCTAATCCGTTATATACTTTTGATATTTGATACGTAAATGAATTTTTGAATTGTTCTGTGCAATGTGGCGGAGCTGTAATTGTATTTTTGTATCTTGTATTTAGATTATGTATGTCAGTTTTGTATATAATTTTTTCAAAAAGATATGCTGGAAGAGAGTTTTTGATAATTTTGTGGAAAAGACAAGCAGCATGTAGAAATCTTCTCTTTTCCATACTCAGCCATCTTACATGTTTAAATTTGTGAGAAATACGCTGGTGTCTTCTTACACCACAGATCAAACGAAGACACGAATTTTGAACCACCTGAATTCTTCTCCTGTCATCTGAACTAATACAAGGCCCATACACAGCATCTCCATAGGTAAATTTTGATAATACTAAACTTTCACACAGTATTCTTTTTACTTTGTATGACATACAGCGGCGATTATGATAAATTGTTCTTAGACTGAGAAATGCTTTACTCACACAGGTGTTAATATGTTTAGTAAATTTGAGTTGATTGTCTAAAGTTAAACCTAGATTTTTTGCGCTTGTTACAGGTTTAATGATCTCATTATCAACAACTATTTCAATGCTGTTACCGATCTTCAAACATACTCTGTTTGGACCAAAAACCACCAGATTAGTTTTTTTGAGTTTATATTTAATGCATGATTTTTTGCCCAAGCAATCAATGATTTAATATCTTCATTAACATTCTCAATAGCACTTGCTCTGTAAACCTAGTAAAATGAGTGATAAATTTGTGTGTCATCGGCATAGAGATGAAATTTACAGGTATTCAGGGAGGTACCAATGTTGGTGGTGTATAAGGTAAATTGGATTGGACCTAAGATTGAGCCCTGAGGTACCCCTAACAAAATGAATAAAAAATCAGAGCTTTTTTCGTCTACTTTGACGGTCTGTTTCTTGTGATGCAAGTATGACTTAACCATATTCTATGCATTCATGGAAAAGCCGAATAACTTCAAAATTGCATAGAGTAGTGAATGATTGAGAGTGTCGAATGCCTTAGAAAAAATCGATCAAAACTAAAATGGTAACCTAGCTATAATCCCTCTTTCACCCACATCTCTTTCTCTCAAAATGTCATCAGTTATTTTAAGGAGTGCTGTTTCACAGTTGTGAAATGGCCTAAATCCGGACTGAAAATCAGTTAAGATATTATTGTTAGAAATATAATCACCAAGCTGCATTTGCATAATGCGTTCTAACACTTTTGATACAGTAGGCAGAATACTAATAGGTCTAAGATCCTTATGTTCGGTTGGATTGTTACATTTAGATATGGGTCTAATTAGTGCTTTTTTCCATTCATCTGGAAAATAATTAGTCGAGAGGCAACAGTTCATTATATGCGTTATATAAGAAATGATTAATGGGCAACATCGAAGTAACATTTTTAAGTTTAAACCGTCTGAACCTACAGCATTAGATTTAATTGTATATAACAATTTTTGCACTAGATCACAAGATACTGGAGTAAAGTTGAATTGTTCCCGATTAGGTACAGTATTTAAATAATTGTCGATTGTATTTTGATTGATTGTTAGATGTGGGATGCATGATGTATAGTACTGATTAATCTCATAGGGTTCTTTTAATGTTTCTGGAATTGTGCGTTCATTCTTACCAATATTAATGAGTTGTAAATTTTTCCAAGTATTTTTTATCCCACCTACATGAAGTTTGTGTTGAAAGAATGCTTTTTTTTCATTTTCACATGCTAATGTTGTGTAATTTCTAATCATTTTATAGTAGGTAAGGTGAGCTACTCCTTAGTTTTCTGCCATTTTTTTTAGCCTGATCTCTTAGTGACATAAGAAGTACCTAGAAGTACCATAGAATGTACCTTCCAAAAAAACCGTCCCGATACGGTCTGAAGGTATTTTCCTTGGTGGATTCTCTCACGTTCTATACTTACCAATTAGAAATATGTGCTGGTACACAACCACCAGGTCCATATTCTATCAGTTCTGTAGTCAATGGACAATTGGTTTACATCAATTGTACTCGCACAAAACTTACTGACAAATCATAGTCTAACAATTGTAGGCACCCTACGTAAAAACAAAAGGCATATCCCATTCGAATTTTTAATGAACAATAGACCGCCAAAATCAACTATGTTTGGATTTACCAAAGATATAACAATATTGTCCTATATACCAAAAACAAAAGAACATGTTGTTCTTTCGTCAACACTACACCATGATGACCAAATCGATCCGACAACGGGTGATGAAAGTAAACCTGAAGCAATAATGTTCTATAACTCTACGAAACGTGATGTGGACACCGTTGATCAACTTCGAGGTTCCTATACTGTCGCAAGAAATACAAAACGCTGGCCCATGGTTATCTGTTATGCATTGCTTGATGTTGCTGCAATAAACGCATTTGTGATACAGAGAAATAACACACCGGATCTAAAAACAAGCAAAAGAAGAAGATTTTTTTAAAAGAACTAGGTCTTCAGTTAGTGATGGACAATATATAGAGAAAGAGCTCAATATCCTCATTTAAGATATAAGAGAGCTTGCTGCTAAACTCAGTGGTGTTGGACCAGTAGAAGCACCTGCGGAATTGCAAAATAAAAGGGGGCGTTGTGCTTTTTGTAGAGATCGTAAAACTCGCTACATGTGTCAGTCCTGTAAAAAATTTATATGCTTAGAACATACCGTACCTGTTTGTCGCATATGCATTGATAAAATGACTAAATAAGTTATATACAAGGTGTTCTTTAAACATCTGCCATATTGTTGTATGTAATTTCTTTTATATTTTTAGTTTTAATATTATAATAGCAGTTCATTTTTTTATGTACATGTAAGTTGTCTTTAGTAGTAGTTCTGACATATGCAACGCAAACCTGTTATGACAAAATTAAACATAAAAAATTCTTAGTTTAATTTTTGGGCTTCTCAGACCCAATCCGTTCCTTCCTGTATCAAATTATCACCCGTGCACCGAAGGGATAATGAGGTGTTGACTATGTTTTGTTCTCATCATATTTTCTAATGTATTATAACATACAATAGTTTTAAATGTAAATACTAACCCTATCTTGTGTAAAGAGAGAACTCAATACAAATTGACTGGCCAGTTGGTTATTAAAACCAGTGCCAATAAAACACACACACGCACATATCATTTATCAAGTACTGTTACTTTCTGTATCTTTATGCGGTTGAACATTTCTTGATTCCTTAAATTACAAAAGAGTGTCCTGACACTTATCTTATTCTTGACCTACTTGTAACACAACTGGGAGTTTTGCGTGATGAAGATTTGAATAGTTGGAAGGTTTTATAGCTCACTGAAGCCACTTTTTTTAAGGGCTTCGTCCTCCAAGAACACTGGCGACCAGTTGTATGATCTTTACTTTGTCCTCAGTTAAACTAAATAATGTTGTGGACTGATTCCATATAATTGGCGAAGGTTCTTTAGCCAGAATGTTGTTTATCGTTCAGTACCACGTTATTCTTTTATTTCCTTTAGACTTTGTAAAACTGTTTGATTTGTCTCTCTATCCAGCCAAGATATTCTTAAAATTCTGTAATAATCTTATGTATCCTTATTTCATAGAAAATAATGCTAAAGACTTAACACTTAACATCGTAATAAACTAATTCTAACGAGATGCATGCAGTAGAATTAGGGTTCGATGGATGGAGTGGAGGCAAGCGAGTGGTGTGTTGTTTGACAGAAAAATTCCAATGAAGCTTATCTGGTTTAGTATTCTGATTGCTATATTGATATAAGCAAACATACTGTCTTTGATATTTACTTCTAAAATTTTGATTGCGATTTTTTCTCTTCGGTACTGACTTTACACTAAGTATGAGCAAACTTTCAAAATACTGATGATACTTGTGTGTCGACTGACAAACGTCGTCACTAAACACTGAGCAGTAGGCATTGAGACCTCAGTACCATTTGACGGTTCTTGTATTTCTAAAAAACACGATACTGGTACGTCACCAATGAGGGGAGTAGTCAAATTGAGACCCCGAACTCACGGAACCGTATCACTCCTGTAAAATGGGTACAGAAAAGTCGAGTTTCAAATTCCCAACGCGGTTCTTGCCGAAAACTTATTAATTATCATATATATATATATATATATATATATATATATATATATATATATATATATATATACTTATTTATTTATTTAATTTTAGGTATGACATGAAAGGATACAATTCGTTATTGGGAAGTCACTACGATCACTACTATGTGACATATCATTCGTACAAGACTCATAAAATTAATCCCTCCGTTTTTAAAGTAGAAACTGATAGTGGTATGTATTTAATTATTTCTTTTAACGAAAAATCTATACATTTTAATTATTTGGAAATGCAAAACTAATGATATGAATATCACACTTTAAAATTATATTGTATAGATTTCTTAATGAATATAAGCGGCTTTTTAATAGGGACTTCCGAACTTTGACAGTTGGTAGCGGCCATATTGTTGAAGCTACATCTCTAAACTTGACTGTCATTTATTCAGTCTGGTATGCTCAAGCATCGATAACGGACATAGCATACACTTCTTCTTCTTCTTCTTTCTAGTATATAGGCTTTAAAGCGTGTTTCTTCTTCGATATTAGCCTCATAAATTGTCGCACCATCTTTTTCTTGGTCTGCCAATACTTCTTCGTCCATTTGGTGACTAATCTTGTGCTATTCGTACTATTCTATCCTCTGCCATTCTACTGATATGTTCGTTCCACTCCTGTTTTCGTTTTGTCACCCATCCATTTATGTCTTCTATATTGCATGCTCTTCTTATGTTTTCGCTTCTCTCCCTATCCAATAGACTCTTCCCTGAAATTCGTTGGAGTATTTTCATTTCTGTTGTTTCTAGCAGTCGTCTCGTTTTAGATGTGTCAGGTCTTGTCTCCGCCTTGTATGTTAATATAGGTCTAATTGCTGCTTTATAGATTCTTGTTTTTGTGTCTTGTCTTAGGTGTTTGTTCTTCCAGATTGTGTCATTAAGAGAACCCGCCGCTTTACTTGCTTTTAAGCGTTGTTGTCGTACTTCTTCTTCAACATCTCCGTAACTAGTTATATCTATTCCCAAATATCTAAACCTTGCTTCCTGCTTTATTATTTTCCCATAAATTTCGATTTTACGCCGTAGTGGGTATTTAAATGAAGAAGGGCACAAGAGAGATCTGAATAGAAGGACATAGCCAAACAGGCAAAGACCCATCCAGGGTAATGATACCAAAAGAAGAAGAAGAAGGGTATTTAAATGTTGTATTACATTTGGTTTTGTCTGCTGATATTATCATATTGTATTTCTTAGCTGTTGAATTGAAGATATGTGTTAATCTTTAGAGCTCGTCTTCTGTCTCGGCGATTAATGCGGCGTCATCTGCATAACATAATATTTGGATTTCTTTGTTCCCCATTCTATAGCCATGATTTTTACGCACTGCTTGTATTATTTCGTCCATTATTATATTGAAGAGAAGTCACCGAGGCTTAACGAGTCACCCTGTCTGACTTCGCTTTGTACTAATATACACTGTGTTAGTTTTCCATTTAACTTTGCCTGTATTCGATTTTGGAGGTAGATGTTTTCGATGGTTTGTATAATATTGATTGGTATGTTTCTTTTATACAGTAGGTATAAGACGGCTTCGACTTGGATGCGATCGAAAGCCTTTATCAGGTCTATAAAACATAGATATGCTGGTTTATTGTACTCGATGGCTTTTTCTGTGATTTGTCTTAGTACAAATACGGCGTCTACGCAGGATCTTACGGATCTGAATCCCTGTTGTTCATCTGATAAAGTTGTTAGTTTATTGATTTTATTCGTTACAAAACAAAACAAAAAAAAGAAGATAATAAAAGAATAAAAAAAAAAAGAAACAAAGAAAATATATCAAAATATAATTTATGTATAAATATTAGGTATATGTAGTACTAACATTGATAACTTTTAACAAGAAAATTTTGACTATGAATCTGCAATCACTAATAATTAAAATTCAATCGTTTTTAACAATAAAAACAAACAAGTCTGGCTAATTGGCTCTGCCAAAGCCATATTACAGAAAAAAAACTTTTGTGGTAAGCTTAAGTGCGGTGTTCAGTAGATTTATACCTCTATAATTGTTGGGGTCTTCTTTATCTCTTTTCTTGAACATTGGTATCATTATGCTGTTTCTCCATGCATCTTGCAGTGCAATATTAGTTTTTGTATAAGTTTTGTCATCTCTAGGGTTATACTTTCTCCTCCGTATTTTAGAAGCTCATTGGTTATTCCGCCTGGTCCTGGCGACTTTCTATTTTTGAGCAAATTTATGGCATAGCATACACACAAAGTCCAAATAAAAAGGTTGTTTTATCAAAATGAGTGGTCTGTTCGCGTAATGTTCCGCGCGCTTCAACAATTTTGGTCGATATAATAGTCCTACCAAGAAGACTTTTAGCATAGTGGTGGATAAATTTGAGTCCACTGGTTCCGTAAACAATCAAACAACATCCGTACGTCGACGAAACTCAAGATCTGCCAGAAACACCCTTAACAGTGTGCAGCAGAATCCGACGCAGTCGATTTCACGTCGCTCACAAGAACTTGGCATTTTACAGACAACAATGTACACGTACACTCTTTATGGACAGATTGGACGTTACCCATGAAAAGGCACTAGGCTCGGACTTCAGTCTGGTAGAGGTATCTTGGTCGGGCTTCTTTGGGGCTCAAGCATAGAGAATTAGTTAGTGGAGTACTAAAGATAAAGAGAAGATGAGTTAGAAGATAAAGAGAAGGGAAGTTAATCGGGTACACCCTATTTTTAAAGAAACAGGGAAACCTACGACATATAAAATAAGATAACGAGAAAGGTAAGGTATGGTTAGGATAATCATGCGAGAATAAATAAACCATGAGAGAAAAGTTATTATGATTACTCGGTATACACTTAATATTTCGCCACATATACATTGTTTATATAATAAATCAAATCGTAATATCAATCAATAATAATGGTTAAAATAGATACATCATGCACACGAAATAAATATATACATAATAAAAAAATAAAAGGCAAATAGTTCATCAATAGGGTTATATTAAGGTATAGTTAAAGTAAATGCTTTAGAAAAATTTTATTGAACAGTTAAATAGCAAGAAATAAATTACTGCACAATTTAGTATTAAATACAACGAATAATATTTTCGGACTAATAATTATTGCTAATTTCATATTCTCAAGAATAAGAAAAAGCCAGAAATATTATAGTTGTATCTACGTCAATATTTGATATAACTTGAAATAAAACAAATGAGTGATTTTTACGCCTTAAGAATACGTGAAAGTGAAGTTACTGAAATGTTTGATTGTGATCACCTCAAATATGGGTTTAAAATCTAAAATAAATTTAAACTAAATATAAAACAAATCTGATCATACATCGTCTTCTTCTTTTTATATAGACATGACTCTGTCTGTTTTTCAATGTGCCTCCAGTAAGTTGTCATTCCATCGTTTTCGTGGTCTTCTTAATGGTGAACCGTCTCTTGCCGTCTTTACTACTCTATTTGTTGTCATTCATTCGGCTTATGTGATCGTTCCATTCCATGTAAGCAAAAAGTTTGCTTACAGTCGAGATTGGCGTTTTCATGTTTGAATCTCTTAATATCAAATCTAACACTAGTTCTCATCATTTAGGGCTAAGATTTTAGTTTTATCATTTATTTCATCGACTGTCAAATACTTATTCAACTTAAAAGACTAATTGTTTTTCGTTTCATTAGGTTTTTTCACTATCTGAGAACAGATACTTTTATTTTATCCAAAAACTTAATTTTTGAAGACATGTTAGCACATATTGTCACTATTTTCTTATCTCTATTATGAGAATAAATTATAATTACTTTATAATTACTTATTACCTTTCCAATGCGATTTTTTGGCAACTGCTGGGAAAAATTATTGGAGAGAAAACTGGGATTGTATTTTCTTCTCACACAGAGCAAATTTAATTTAAGATCCCCAGATGTTTTAGAACGACCTTTTCCTATTTTTCTGTATAGACATATAATACAAATATACTGAATACTGATTGATTAAATACAGTCGCGTTTCCCCAGAGCGATAAAGAAAACTGACGCAAAGCAGTCCCTGCATCTCTTTCTAATTTACCAGGTTTATCAACCCTATGACCTAAGTGACCAATGCGAAGATCACGTGGTAAATAGACCCGATCCATTAGCAGAGACTCCTTTGTGTCAATTTTCTCTGTTGCACTGGGGGAACGGGCTGGCATTGCAACGATCAGTCTATCTTATATTATATGTCTATATATTCCTTTAACCAAACCTAACCTAATCGTAATATTGTACATTAATTATAATTTCAGAATGTAGAAGTTTTCCTGGACCTGGAAATCAACATGTCCACATCATGAACCCCATGGCCGAATATATTCGTCCCGAAAAAAGTGAGCACGTCGATTCAAGTTTTGGCGATTTTATAAATAACCACAATAAAAACTACGCAGACGCAAAGGAGCACGCATTTAGAAAAGAGGTTTTCCGTCAAAATGTCAGGTTCATCGAATCAGTCAACCGAAGAAATAAAGGTAAGTTTTACAGCTAACTAAGACATTTTTGGATAATAGAAAGCATTTTGCTACAAAAAAAGATTGTTTATTTTTGTGATTGGTTTCAGTTATTATTCATAATAGAATTTAGATATGTAAATTCTGACATTCTTTATAAAACCTAGGCAATTAATATGTATTTATTGTGTATTGTATGTTCAACAATAATGTCATTTTTTAATTTAATGTGAGTCTGTGCTCTTCGGTCACATCTTAATCATTCACCTTAATATTTTCCCTATATCTTTTAATATCTCTTTAAAAATCTGCTTCGAAATAAATTGGACAGTAAAGGTGAGAGCACCTACCCCTGGGGAACTCCTTTCTGTATCAATACCATCGAGTAAAAAGACAAAAGAGGGAATCTAATCCTTATGAAAAGGAGACCAAAAAAGTGGTCTCTAATTGCGGACATATCCGGAGATGCGAATGCGCCAAATTTAAATTTTCAGACACTTATTAACAGTAGCTGTATAATATTTTTCAGAATGTGTCTTAGACGAGAAAGTTTTAATTAATTATTAACGATAATAGTCTAAAATGCGACACAATTGTTAAAAAACTACAATATAAATAAGATTTCATGTGACATTTGGGACAAACAATAACATAACCCAACTAAATTTGATGTCAAACAAGGAGAGAGACTCTCTTTCCTTGTTTAATGTGGCCTCTAAAGATCGCACTTTCTGTCTAACAATATTTTTGCCCCCACTACCTTTACATTCCCTCTTTTGTCTTTTTGCTCGATGATCAATACTCGCGTTGTATCTTCCATGAAGCTATATTTTTTTTAAGCCTGAAAAATACATTCGCTTGACGATAATAATATTCGCTTGTCGAAAAGTTGAAAAGAAAATTGCTATTTTAAGAGACATGAAATACAAATCTGCGTTTTACGTAGAAGAACTATTATACCGCATGTAATCTCTGCGAAAACCTCAAAAACAATATATTTCTATTTGCTATGTAGAGCTTTGGAGTCCTTTTCTGGAGTATTCATCAGAATTTCGGAGGTCCTAGTCTTTTGAGTCCACAGAGCACGTTACTTGTAGACTTTTCATTCTTTACTGTTGGATTGAATTAAGGCGATTCTGACTCCAATATATATTGGTAACTACTCTTATGTTCTCTCTATCCACTCATAAGCTTTTCCTTTAACTTACATTCTGATTTTCTCAATTGTAATATAAGTCAATGCTCGTCAGACACTTTTTAACCATTCAGCTTAATACTTCCATCTTATCTTCTAGTTTTCCTTTAAAAACCGATTTTGAAATAAATTGAATAGTAAAGGGGACAGCACCTATCCCTGGTGAATACCTTTCTGTATCATTACTTGCTTTGTATCCCTCTTACCCAATAAGTTACATTCTATTTTGAGCATAAAAACCATATTCCTTGACGATACTAAGGTTAATCTTATCGAAATGTCGTATAGAAAATGGCTGTTTTAAAAGCCATCAATTATAATGCAGAACTTTGGTACCATACATTATATTTACAAGAACTTAAAAAACAATATACCCTTTTTTGTTACGCGGAACTTTCGACTCCTTCTCTGAATATTCATTAGAACTTCCAAGGTCTTAGTTTCTTGAGTCTTCTGAGCAGCTTACTTGTATACTGTTCATTATTTACTACTGTAGTGAATTAATGCGCTTTTTGCCCCAGATATAAGTTAATTATTATTCTTATGTCTTCTGTATCCACTTCCGAGCTTTCCCTTCTATTTAATTTCTGTATTCCTCAATTACTTTGTATGTATGACATCTATCAGCAAGTCATGTATTCATAAAAAAATGGTTTTAGGATATACCTTAGCAATTAATCATCTTGCTGATAAAACTGACAAGGAAATCAAATACCTCAATGGAAGAGTTTCAAGTGGAGGCAACAATGGTGGACAACCTTTCCCATACACTGATTTTGACACCGATGATTTACCCGATGAGTATGACTGGAGGCTCTATGGAGCTGTTTCACCAGTAAAAGGTAATAGTTTATTGACGTTAATTTATTATTAATAATGTTTATCAGAAAATGATAAAAGACACTAAATGCATCAATATTACTGATATCGAAAGGTTTTCCTACCTTGTTATTGAGTTCTTACATTGAGTAACTTACATTACGATGCATTATGTATCTTACAATTCTGTGAGAAATATCTAATTTTAACTTGTTTATTTAAAGATCAAGCTATATGTGGATCCTGCTGGTCTTTTGGCACAGTCGGTACTCTTGAAGGATCATTGTTTTTGAAAAATGGAGGCAAAAACTTCGTTCGATTGTCCGAACAAGCTTTGGTGGATTGTTCTTGGGGGTAAGAATTATACCTTTAATCTTAAATTAATATTTTTTATTTATGAAGCGCTAGAAGTTTTGCAGATCCACGGATTAAAACGTTATAATGTGTTATTCTATAAACAAAATACTTTTTTTAATTTACAAAATAGTCCAGTCGTAGATATTTGACTTCTAAAAATCATACGAACAAGCTGCATTTTGATGAGAATGTCAATTTTGGGACCTCAATTTTGGGGCACTCGTATCTCCGCGCTTTCTCCTAAAACCAATCTTGTAGGGACAGAGGCAAAACGGAAAACATCGATTTACCAAGAATCTGTACGTTGTAGAAAAAAATGTTTAAAAGAAAAAATGTAGCTAAGATAATTTTTAATAAAACTTTTTATTAGCAATTTTTGTGTAGAATGAACTGTTCTTTCATAAATAAAACTTGAAGCGACCGGCGAATTTAACTGTGAGTTATGCGCGTGAAATAATTTTTTTAATTTTAAATATTTCTATCAACTCGACGATAAAAATTCTTTATGTTTTGATTAGATTAGTTCTTATCTCCTATCAACAAAAATTAAAATGAATTTTAAAGATGAAGAGTGCAGCTTTCGCATGAATGCATTTTGCCACACATGAAATCAGTTTCTATAAAACTGTTAAATAAATAAACGCTGTGCGATTTTTGCCATTTTTTACGATTCTCATCTAACCAATAAAAACAAAATAAAATATAGACAATAAAATGTATCACTTCCAAATTTCCAAATTTACTATAACATGGAATAATTCTTCCACAAAGACATCATAAGGCGGTATTTGTAGGTAAAGTTGTGTAGTTTTAAAAAAGTGCTTTTGAAGTCAAAAAGAAATAATTTTAAATATTTTAGACTGTTTATAATGTGAAAGTTTAAATTCAGCGTTATTTAGGCATATTTCAAATGCTTCATATTTGTTGCCAAAATTTAAAATCTAAATTGCCAAACTGATCCATTTTATTGATCTCATGAGAATGGTAAGAATCACGCAACGTTTATTTATTTAACAGATTTATAGAAACTGACTTCATTGCGGGAAAATACAAAAATTGCATACTGTCGAGTTAATACAAATTTTATTTAAAAACTTTATTTCATGCGCATAACTGACATTCAAAATAGCCGGTCGTTTCAAGTGTTGTTTCTGAGAGAACTTTTAATTCTACAGAAGAAGTACTAATAAACATTTTTGTTCAAAATTATCTCAGCAACATTTTTTGTTTGAAATATTTTATTCTATATTCTTGTTTTGCGTTTCCTCCCGATTAGGGGGGTTTTAGCGCGAAGAGTGAGGGTAGGAGTGGCAAAATTTTTGCATCTTTTTTCAAAAATTAACATTCTCTATAACGTCCAGTAAAATTACAGAGAGTTTTATACTTTTTTGAAGCCATATTGTCTGCAAAGCTCTTTCTGCATTAAAATTTACTTTTAAGCAACTTTTTCTATTTTTAAGTTCTGTTTTGTGTGTTACTATTACGGCTAAATCATCCATAAGAGCTAAATACTTATAATCGCTTTTAAAAATTATTTCTTTTATCATCAATGGATGCAACACATATAATCTGGTACAATAGGTAATCAGTTGTGAAACTAGAGGTATCAGTCTTGTAGGGGTATCAGTGACTTAAATGTCACCTGCATACGTCCCATACCTGTCGGAATCATCAAAGGATGCCAATAAAAGATCAAAGGTTGCGACTTTTCTCACGGTCGCCAAAAGTTTCACATGCTTAACCGCACCAAACTCTGCCTAAAATGGCGCGTCGAAGGAAAAATACGATGTGACAGACACAAAAGACTATTGGATAGTTGACGTATAGATAATCTAACAAAGAAAACAATTAGTTAGAAAGAGAAGAAGAAAAATTCGATTTGACGAACGGAGAGAATGAACCCACCTGTCACAAATCCAGGTTTCAAACTTTTATTTACTTGCCGTATCACCAATCTCCAGTATGAGCGTAAGAAAGTATCCAGTCAATTCTGGCAGGTAAAGGAGGGAAAAATCTTTTTTAGACATCTATGACATCTTTAAAGTATGACACTATACCAGAAGACCTCGGGGTGGTGCCGGTTTAACAGTGTTCCGGCTAAAACCTTAACCAATGCTCTAGAGTAGTGGTCTTACCGCTCCCTAAAAAACTAAAATCCATTTATTTACCATCACCTTAAAATAAAAGTACCTATATTATATCTACAGAGATACCTATAAGAAAAGGTGTACGACAAAGATGTGTACAAACCCCCTCTACTTTTCAATATGTGCCAGAAGATATTTTCAAAGAGGAACTAGAAGACATAGATGAAGGCCTATCAGTTTATGGAATACTAGTAAATAATCTCAGATAAGCAGACGATACAATACTCCTTTGTATTGATGATTATAGAGGGCAAAATAAAAGGTAAAAGAGATGTAGGAAGAAGACGAACCTCCTGGCTACGAAATCTAAGGGAATGGTTTAGTCTGAGCTCTAGCCAACTATTTAGAGCTCCTGTAAGTAAAATAAGAATTGCCATGTTGATATCCAACCTTCGTTAGAAGATGGAACCTTAAGAAGAAGACAATACTCCTTGCGGACAGCAGAGAAGCGCTGAAAATTTAAGATTATCGCACTACTCAGTACTGCAAAAGGTATGGAATGGCTCTGACAACAAAAAAAAAAAAAAACAAAATCATGATTGTTTAGTAAGAACAAGATTGAAGAGGAAACAATCTACGTTAAAAGAAAAGTTTTAGAGAAAGTAATCAGATACAATTACTTGGTATGTGAGCCAGATACCCAGAAGCGCTTTCAATAAGCCAACGTAGTATTATGCAATGGAAAACTCGGAAAAGAAATTATAGAGTATTGAGATCCTACGTCATCTCTGCCCTTTTATATAAAGTTAAAGCCTGGTCAATTACGGAAATATCTAAAAATGACTTGCCAGATTTGAGATGTGATGTTATCGAATGATGTGAAAAATATTATGCACGTAACACATAACAATCACGGAAGCATTAAGAGAGATAAAAAAAAGCAATACTTAAAACTATGAAGGAAATAAAAATGGGCTACTTTGGTCACATACTAAGAAATAAAAGATATATGCGATTGTTTATACAAGAGAAAGTGGAAGAAAAAGTGGCCCGGCGAGACGATGCACGTTTTAGTTGAAAAATGTAAAGCAGTGGTATAGAAAAACAACAATAGAACTCTTAAAAACTACTGCAGACAGAGTAAAATGAGCCATGATAATCGCTAATGTCTTTAAAGGAAGACGCGCACAAAGTAGAAGATTAAGGAAAACTCACAACTTACCATTCCTATCACCATAAAAAAAATAGTTTAAGAACTGCCTATTACCAAAGAAAACAAAAGAAAAAAATATTTGCGTGAGGCCATAAGCTAATTTTGCTACTCATCGGTTCCTGGCTCTAGAGAAAAAGCAAGATTTTAGATCCCTAGTTTAATTTCCTCTTCTGTTCTCCTGTACCTTCTTTTTCATCACCCCAGAGATCAATCACTTAACTTCTTTCCATCCAGCTTTCCCAGTTTCCCTCATCCAGCATAAAATCCATTAGCCTCTCGAAGTCTCCACTCTCATTTGCCCACCTCTGGCAGTTGACAAGGTTTCACACCTGGCGGCAATTATCAAAGAGATCCGACAAAAGATAAATGAATGCTTCTTGTTCTCACGCTCGACAAAATTTTCCCATTCCTAACTACCGCAAACAATTGATATATTTTGAAAAAACCTTCAATCGGGCCGATAGAAAAACATTATATATACCAATACATTTAAGTATATACAGAAATAAATATAACGCTTAAAATGCAGTCAAACGAAACAAAACCAGTAAAATATTTCATATTGCAAATTAAAAGATATTATGCATGTCCCGGAGGTTGTTTGCCCGCAGATCAAGATATGCAATATGATCAAACTGAATATATAGACGACCAATTTTATGTTCCACAAAACCAATACACACACTGCATAGATAACGGTGCATACGACTTTAATAACGAGGGTCCATGGGACAATACAGGACCAGACCAAATTCCTGAAGAAAGTCAAAATTACTACGATGGATATGTCGACTACAATGAAAATGTTTCATACCAATCTCAAAATGAAAATTATGATGACTTAGACTGCTATTGTTCTGAATCCGCACCATGCCAATCTAAAGAGGAGGATTATGTTGAAGTCGAATGCTATTGTAGTGAAGTTGCACCCTGTCAAACTATTGCTCAAGAAGAGGTCAATAATATCTTAGATTTTAGATTGTAACTCAGCAATTAATAACTCAATTTAGATGTAGTAACTCAGCACCCTGCCAAATTCAGGAAAAGACGATCAATGTAAATGTAGTGATACTGCACCTCGTCCAAAATGCAAACGAAATTCAATATCAAAATCTTTTTACAGAATCCTATGACCAAGATGAAGGAATAAACTTAAAAAATATTAAAAAAAAACATTTTCAAAAACTATTTATTAATTAATTATATTTATATTAATTTATATGCGAACATTATGTTTATTTTTAGCTTTGGTAATAATGGTTGTGATGGTGGCGAGGACTACAGGGCTTACCAATGGATCCAAAAACATGGTGGAATACCAATCGATGCTGATTATGGCAACTATTTAGGCGAGGTAAATATAGTGGTATATTTTTTTGTATTTCCATAGAGATACTAGTTACGTTGCTATTTTTTAGAATATTTCATTTCAGCGGTGGCTCGTGGCCTAAAAAAGTGGTGAAGATGAGGAAAGCTTGCCGGAGCCAAAAGGAGTTTTGGTACCTAGGTCGTAACCAAATCTCATTAAAAATTCGTTAAAAAAATGTATAGTTAAATAAAAACTAAACTAATAAATATTATACTATACACTATACTGTATAAAAAATGTCTATATAATAGACTAAATTTCAAAACATTGTCGCTGCGAATACTAAATAGGTACGCATGTAACTAGTGGCCAGTAGATGAAGACGGATAATATATTTTTTAAAGGAACTGCACTAAGCTATTTTCCTCAACTATCACTAGCGACAGGCTGACGTCACGTTGCCATGGCAACCGTGAACGCTGATGCAGATGAATTTCGCATTTCAAAAATGATATTCACCTATTCCTAAATCATACACAGCAAGTGACACAGGTCAGGACTTGGCCGTCAAGTACCTACCGCACCGCTAATAAAGCTAGCTGTCTTTTTTAATTTTTAGATTAATTAAAGGAGAATAAAATAAATAAAAAAGAGAATAAAAAAAAATAAATAATTGATTTCAGAATTTAGATATAATAATTTTGCTTTTATTTTTTGTTTATTTGTTTCAATTTAATTATATTTTTTTGGTGAACCTCACCTTCACCTACTTCACCGGCTGCCGCTGTTTAATTTGTCCTGTAAATTTTTGCCCCAATCACATCGTGAAAAAATTTAATTTATTTTCACTTTTTCTCATTTTAAAAGGGAAAAATTTTCTGAACACAGTTTTAAAATTTAATAATAGTTCAAAAATAATTTCATCAACAGGATGGATTTTGCCACGCGGATAAGGTAGAGAAGACAGCCAAAATTACTGGTTGGGTAAACGTAACCGAAAACGATGAAAATGCTCTTCGTTTAGCATTATTCAAGCAAGGACCAATTAGTGTTAGCATCGACGCTAGTCAAAAAACGTTCAGTTTTTATTCACATGGAGTCTATTATGATGAAAATTGGTAAGTAGTGTTTTCTTCTTTTTAATAATTTATCTTTATTAGTTTTTTCGACCATTTAAAAACTATGTATTATAAATAAGTAGAAATAAGGTTGTGGAGCAAACTAAAACGTATTCACCTACCGCCCTTTTGATATCTTGACCCAATTCTTGAACTGTTTCAGCTACGGTTTGCCCCCTGACCATGGTGTAAAGTTTCCCCATGTTAACCTGAAATGTGCATTAACATATAAAAATAATTCGTTTGCAATAATTTTACTCAAATTGATCTGATGCAATTTCCATTAAGTTAAAACAATAGTTTTTTTTTTTGTTTTAGCTTGGACAATTGTCATTCAGCCAGTCCCAATCAAGATAAGTTTATTAATGTAGTGTGTGTGTGTGTGTGTGTGTGTGTGTGTGTGTGTGTGTGTGTGTGTGTGTGTGTGTGTGTGTGTGTGTGTGTGTGTGTTTGTGTGTGTAGAGTAATTGTCTTGATACTTAGCAAAGTCGACGTCATTGTCTTTGCTAAGAGACGCTAATTGTATCCGAACGTCTGCGGTCCCTCCGGTGAGTACCGATCACACAAGGATAGAAATTATTTTCATTTATTAATTTTTTAATAAACGAAAATTTCCACCCAGGTGAGATTCGAACTCACGACCTTTAGGTTTAAAGGTAAGCGCTCTTACCACTGAGCCACAGAGGGGGTAAAACAATAGTTATACATGTGAATAATATTGTACTTATATTATGTAATCAATTGGGGGCTTCTTACCATTAAGATTTTTCCACCGCACAAAAAACACAGATTTTTAAAATCGTTTTGTAAATTTAACCTGTTGGTGTCTAGATGGCAGCAGAAGCATATACTTGTTATTCCAACAACTAGTATATTGCTTTTTTTCGAATAAAATTTAGAGTTGCTAAAACACAGTGATACGGTTGGCAAACTAACCCCGTTTTACGGTGTATATGTGGTGAGATTATAAATTGACTTTTTGGGGTATCGGTCATCATAAATATCATTCTCTTTGCCTTTATCCCTATGCGGGGTCAACACATAGAATGTGCGGAGTTTATATGAACCCAGAAAAAAACACAATGCCATAAATGAGATGAGAACGCTGCAAATATCAATTCTGGGTATTAGTGAAATGGGATGGCCCGGATCTGGTCAATGCCATGTGGTTGATCATGAAGTATATTATGCAGGAGAAGACAGTAATTATAATCGTAATGGTGTAGGATTCAGTCTCAAAGGAGGTTAGCAAATGTGTCAGGGCGATATGCCAAGTATCTGAACGGGTCATAATGATTCAGTTGAACGCGAAACCCAGAAATATAAATTTAATACAAGTGTATGCACCGACAGCGGAAAGTGAACTAGAAGAACTTGAAAAGTTCTACGCCGATGTAAAGACTGTTACTGACAAACTCAAGACTAGAGATCTTACCATTCTGATGGGCGACCCTAATGCTAAGATAGGAAAAGGCAGACAAAGTAACATTATTGGATGGTATGGACTGGGCGATAGAAATGAAAGAGGAGATTATTTCGCAGATTTTTGTAAAGAACATAACCTATGTATAATGAACACCTTTTTCAAACTACCTAAACGGAGATTATATACAGTAAAATGCAGTAAAGTCTGTAAAAATTTTTCCTGGTGCCGATGTTCCATCTGATCACAATCTGTTGTTAGCCGAAATAAAATTAAAACTTAAACTGATAAAACAACAACGATCCTATAACAAACTGGATATGGATTTTATTAGAAACCATAGTCAGATGATTGCAAACAATTTTGAGAATAATGAACAACAAGAATCCATCGAGGGTCATTGGGACCAAATCAAAACGATTATAAGCAACTCAACTCCAAACTTAAAAGAGAGCAGTCAAAAAAAGCAACAGTGGATGAACGATGAGATTTTGAATTTGATGGAAAAAATACGCAATTTTAAGAACCAAGACGTCGAAACGTATAAAGTAATTAATAAAGATATAAGGACTAAAATAAGAGCTGTAAAACAAACATAGGTACTTCGAAAACAAATGTTTAGAAATTGAAGAGTTAGAGGGAAAACATGATTCATTTAATATGTATAAAAAAATAAAAGAACTGACAGGTCCGAACAAAAAACAGGCAAATAACATCGTTGATAGAGACGGAAAACTGATTATCACTAACTTGCATAAAATAGACAGATGGAAAGAGTATATTAAGGAACTGTTTAATGATTAAAGGCCCGAGCTTGAAATTAACGAAGTAGTTATAGGACCTGACATAGCTATGGACGAAATTGAACAAGCAATACGATTAGCAAAGACCCGAAAAGCGACGGGACCAGATGAAATACGAGTGAAATAATAAAGCTCTTCGAAAGTTCAGGTGAAATATCTCTCCTTCATCTCTTTAATAATATTTATGAAACTGGCTATATACCAACGGATTGGCGGTTGTAGACTTTTGTGACGATACCTAAAAAAGCAAGCAAAAAGATGTAGTGACTACCGAACCATCAGCTTCATGAATCATGTTTTAAAGATATTTCTACAAATTTTGCACTCTAGTATTTACCAAAAAATAGAACAACAACTTGGTGATACACAATTTGGATTCCGCAATAACCTTGGAACAAGAGAAGCACTATTTAGTATTCAGGTTATTGTACAGAGATGCAGAGATGTCGGACATCCAGTTTATATGTGTTTTATTAACTTTGAAAAGGCCTTCGATCGAGTAAAACATACTGAAATGGTAGCCATTCTTCAGCAGGTGGGTATTGATGATCTACGAAGACCTACGCGTTATTAAAAATCTTTACTGGCATCAACGTGCAAACATCAGGATTGACCGGAACACTTCTGAAGAGCTTCAAATACGAAGATGAGTAAGACAGGGCTGCATTTTGTCTCCGTTACTATTTAATATCTATTCTGAGTTGTTTTCAATAAAGCAGTGGATAATGTTCAATGTGGTAAAAAAGTGAATGGCGTCAATATTAATAATTTGAGATATGCAGATGACACAGTGTTAATTGCAAGCAATTACGAAGAACTTTAACATCTAATTAATAGGATTACCACAACATGTGATGAATATGGCCTTAAGCTAAACACCGCAAAGACACAGGTGATAGTCGTCAGTAAAACGCCAATACAACCGGAAGTGGTAACAGCTTATGGTGAACAACTGGAGAGAACTAACAGTATCACTTGCCTTGGTTGTAAGCTAAATGAGAACTGGGACATGAGCAAAGAAATTAGAATACGGATAGAGAAGACTAGAGCTGCATTCTTTAAGAAGAAGAAACTGTTATGTGGAAACAATATTACTTTAAGTCTGAAAATTAGATTAGTGAGATGTTATGTGTTCTCTGCTCTTTTGTATGGTGTCGAAGATTGGACTTTGACGGATACACTTCTCAAGAAACTGGAAGCCTTTGAAATCTGGGTGTATCGGAGAAACCTACGAATAAGTTGGGTGGATAAAAATCGTAACGAAGTTGTTTTGCATCGGATGGGAAATCTGCATCTCTTTTCCGAGCTGCCGTCAACAAAATTACTATAGCCAATTTGATAGCCAACGCTCGATAATCGAGCAAGGCAAATGAAGAAGAAGAAGGAGTCGGCTTCCCTAATTACACTCTCCATAAGTGTCTATCTTGAGTCATATTAATAGTAATACCCTTTACCGACATGTCCTGCCTAAGCGTCTCCCAAGGTCTTTATTTGGCCTTCCTCTCCTACTACTTTCAGGAACCAGCAGATCAGTAATTCTTCGTATTGGTGATTAACGTCTCTACGTTGAACATGACCAAAATAATCTTAACCCATGCTTTCTCATCTTGGCAACAATTGTTGCTACCCAATTTCTGGGGTATCGGTATATCGACATATTCTTGTTTTTTGCCTTAGTTTTTTTGGGTTTTTTTCTCAGTCTTTACATCATCTATATACAACTAATATTTTAGCTCTAATATAATTTTTAGGTCTTTTTTTTTCTCAGTTTTTCAGTTTTTTTTAAATTTCTTGTCTTTTTAGGTATTTGTTCACAATCACTACCATTTTTGTTTCAAATTCTGTATCTTAAGAACTCTCCTAATATCTACAAACTAAAAAATATAAAACAGAAATAAAAATATTATTAATACCTTTAATTTTAGCGGAAACCGGGAACAAGATTTGGACCACTCGGTGTTAGCTGTTGGATACGGTTCAATCAACGGCGAAAACTATTGGTTGATCAAAAACAGTTGGTCCACCTATTGGGGAGATGATGGCTACATCTTGATGTCTTCCAAAAACAACAACTGTGGAGTCATGACTGCGGCTACCTACGTAACTATGTAGATATTTTTTATAACGTACATGTTTAGGAAAAATAGAATATATTTGTGATTTATTTTGTAGAATTGTTATTATCAAATAAAATTTCTTCAAATAATTTCTTTATTTTCTGATTTTTTACCCCAAAAATTTCATTTTTTTGTTGTAATAAAATTTTAAAACAAAATAGTTTTTGAAGAATTGATCGCCAAAGCACCCATCGCCTATATCTTGTATACTCGTATAGAAACTCTACCGCAGTACTACCCACATTACTTGTCATCAATATGGGAGTATAAGGTCAGACAGGGGAGGAATAACTCAATACCACCAGAGAGTCTCCAAAATCGTTTACAAGATAAACCCCAGTGTAGTAGAAAACAACGCATCCATAAAATCCAAAAAAAATTATTAAAATATGCATTTGTAACATGTGTATTAACTACCAATGTATTGGGACCGTGCAAGTTCGGAACAGCGACACCTGGTGTCGTAAATCAGCAAAATTTACTGCGCTTTCATGTTAGATCGCGGTTACCGGATAACTGTCACGGACGTAGCCTCAAAAAAGAATAAGAAGAGAAAGTAAGATTGAGGTTATGTCGGTATGTTATTAAAAGGTAAACGTTGTATGTAGTGTAAATACAAATTTGTAAATATATTATTAAATTACAGCATTACTGTTAATATGGATGCAATAATAAAAACTGGATTTGAGAAAGTAAATCACCAAATAACTTTTCAACCGAGCACTGAGTCAAAGGGAAAAGCTTTAGTAGTGGCAAATGTCAAAAAAGAATGGAAGAATTAAGAAAAATAAATTACCATAAATAATGCTAATGCAAAAATTAGCAGGTTAAGCCCATGATATCATCATATTGGTTTTAACAATTAATTCTTTCCCTGTAAACTTTTGGACAGCGAATATATCTTAATGCATCTTCAGAAAAACTTGAACTTGATGCATTTTTGTAAACTTCAAAAAAATAAAATTTAAACATTAAATTTGATTTTTGGGTTAAAATGAACTCTAAGTGAGTGTTATGAAACTAAAATTTACACTTAAAAGTGAACTTTTATTTATTATTTATTTCAAACTGACTTTAAAATCGGGCGCAAGAATATTGCATAATTTAGGTTATGTTATTTATGTTTTTTTTTATGATATAAATCCACTTTTCTCTTTGTAGTAATTTGTGCTTCGAAGTTGGAACGAATAAAACTTAAATTGACAATTTTTTGTTGTATTTTTACAATTTATAACACAGCATTTCCTAAATCCCATTTTCTTCAGTGACAGAAGGTGTAAATAAACAAACGAATATGAAATGTGACGATTGACAATATGAATTTATGAAATCTATGAAATGTGCAGTAAAATGCAAGATTTCTCCGCTACTCGCGCACGATCGTTTCTCGTATCACATCCAAGTACTTGCACGTCGCCAATAGGTGAATCGTATGATGGGGATACCACATCCGACCTATAGAACGAAAGTAGTTTTGTCTCCTCAGTAGATGGTCAAATGGGCCAATTTTTTTATATTTAGTATTACTTCACTACGAAGTTTAAATAATAGTGGCGACAGTGTACATCCCTGTCTCACTCCTATTTCGTGGGATATATTACTTTCGGTTTTTATATTTGCTCTGTGATTCCAATAAAAATTTAGTGTTATTCGTAGATCTTTATGATCAGTACATTTACTTTTGAAAATATCTTTGTGTGAATCGTAATGTATTATATCAAGTGTCAAAAGCCTTTTCAAAGTCGATGGAATAGAAGTTTATCCCTTGATTACCATCAAAATATAGCTGTGTTAGTGCATTTAGAACAAACACAACTTCTTTAGTATCTAATTTTTTATCTGAACCCTAACTGTTTATTGCCAATATCAAGTTTTAAATTCTAATATACACGGTTATGAATGATTTTAAGAATTATCTCGAAATAAAAGTGTATAGAAAAGAGGTTTAGGAAGAAAAATGATCCTGATTTTACAACCTATTAAAATATTTCAAGGTAAATACTACAACAGTTTTTAAATCAGAATAGCTATGTTATTAAAAATATAACAAGAAAGCTGGAAGTCTGACGATTGGAATATTGGATACATCAGCTCAATATTCAAGAAAGGGGATAAACGCAAACGCTCTAATTATAGGGGAATAACTGTTATCAGCTCAGTGGGGAAGTTGTACGGTCGAATAATAAAAGAAAGAATAGAATCAGAATACGAAGACATAGAAGAACAAAATGGATTTCGTGCAGGAAGATCGTGCACTGATGGTATATTCGTTCTCCAGCAGGTAATCGAAAAACGGAAGGCAAGGAATCTACCTACCCACCTATTGTTTGTAGATTTAGAAAAGGCATACGATACGGTACCTTTGAAAAACTGTTTCAAATATTGACGAATATAATATCTAAAGAAGGCACTACCTACCAAAAGAGACCTAGAAAACAGAACGCAGCAGGGAAAAAAAGCGGTTAACATTCTAAACTCTCTACTATGGTCTAAAGAGTTTAGACAAGAAACAAAATTGACAATATATCGAACCTTGGTAGAGCCTATTATGACTTATGGGGCAGAAGTTTGGCAGATCACAAGAATAGAAGTAGTAGAAATGGATTTTCCAAGGAGAGCGTGTGGTGTATCCAAAATAGATCATATCAGGAATGAAGATATTAGAAGGAAGACAAATACTGTATATTCCAGTGTAGACAAAATTGAAACGAGACAACTAGTGTGGTATAGTTACGTGAAGCGAATGAATGAAGATAGATAACCAAAGAAAGCATTAAATACCCCAACAAAGAAGAAGAAGGGGAAGGCCTTCAGTTGCCTGGAAAGAAAATGTACGACACATAATGATAGAGCCATCAAAGAAGACGAATGGATGGACAGAGATCGATGGCGGTCGAAATGCGAGAGGCGGCAGAGGCTGTAGGAACCTCGCTTATATATATATATATATATATATATATATATATATATATATATATATATATATATATATTATAAGTGATTACTTCGACCAAAAAATAATTTATAAACAAGTAGAAATGAAATTATCAGGTATAGTGGTCTCTATTAAAAATAACGAACTCAATATTTCGCTATTTATTTTATAGCTTCATCAGGAGTACAAGAAATTAAAAGATTTACAAAAATAAAAATTGACATTGAAGTATGTAATAAATGTCAGAATTGATTATGAAGATGATGTCCTGACGTTTATACATTCCACCCCTTATAATTAAGATTTGGATGTAAATGTCGAAGAAGGACGTGTGCCTTTGGATACTAAAGTCGAAAGTGAACGTCTTGATTTCTAGCCTCTACACAGAGAACGGCAATTTAAAGGCTTGGAAGAAAATCCTAAACGAACATAAAATCTAAGAAAACGAGTAAAAGCACGCAACATGAGAGAAAAATATTGCAAAACAGAGGACAAAGAGCTGGCACTACAATGAGAGCTCCTTGTGGAGAGAACTGCAGAAAAAAATGTAATATAATGATTGTAATATAAAATTTTTAGATGAAGCATGACTGGATATTTTTTGAAGATATTACGCATTGGAGACTTATGAAACGACGTTCGATTTTATTCACTGTAATACTTAGAATTGTTCTTGGAATTAATTCACTGTAATTCAATTTTGGCTGTACTTAGAATCCATAAAGTGTTGTTGATATCGCCATGACAAGGAGAATAGCATAAAATAATACGAGTGAACCCGATAAAAGAGGCAGATACGTGAAAAAAGCTTCTTCTTTGTCTACGGCACTACAGCCCAAATTAAGCCTTGGACTCTTTTATTTTTTGCCTCCACCCTTGCTTTTCTGTGGCTAATCTTCTCCATACACAGACGTCTAAAAGGGGTTGTGAGTCGCTAATTACTGTATATAGGTTTCCCAGCGCTTTCTTGGCTTTGCAACCGGTCTCTTTCCCTGTCCGGCCCATTGCAATCTTTGTATTCTAATGAAGCCTAACAGTGGTACTTCCTTATAAAGTTGATAAAGCTCGTTCGAGTCAGTCATTAGTGTCACCTTAATAAAAGCCTTAAGAAATTTGTATGAAGGGTAAACATCACAAATAAAAACTGGAAACAGACTATCGCAAAGCTTCCTGGTTAATAAAGGTCTACATCAGGGGTGTTGTGTATTACCGACCTTGTTTAAAATATTTGTTGCAAAACCATTGAAAGAGTGGAAACGAAAATACAGAGGCATGGTCGTGAGCCATGGAGAGATTTGCTTCTATACATTGCAGTTTGCTGATGACCAGGTTGTTATACCAAACGATAAAGATGATCTGGAGTACATGGCAAGGAAATTTCAAGAAGAATATAGAAAGTGGGGAGTAGAAATTAATACAGAAAAAACAAAATACTTGTCAATAGGTACCGAACTATCGAACATCACATTAGAAAATAACGAAATTATCATGCCCTGCGATCATTACACATACCTAGGAATCGTTTTTGACAAAACGGGGACAGATGATGAAGAAATAAAGAGAAGAATAATACAATCCAGAAAAACAATAAGTTGTCCAAACAGCGTACTGTGGAGTCATGAAATAGGAAAAAGAGGAAAACACAATATCTATGAATCTCTTATTAAAAGCAGTCTATTGTACGGAGCAGAAACTTGGCGATTAACCGAAAACAACAGAAGAAAACTGGAGGCAGTAGAAATGGACGCTTTTAGAAGATCAGTAGGAGTGTCACGCAGAGAGAGAATACGTAATGATGAGATAAGACAGCGAATGGGGGTTGACGGTTCTCTAACAACAGACATAGAAAGACAACAGCTGATATGGTACGGACACGTCCAGAGGATGAATAACTCAAGACTCCCAAAAATAATTATGCAATGGGTACCACCAAACCGCAGAAAGAGAGAAAGACCCAAGAAATCTTGGAGAGAGGGAGTAACGAAGGCGATGGGCGCAAGAGATGTTAGAGAGGGCCAATGAGATGATAGAGTGTCATGAAAATTAGGCATCGGACAACGTCGCAAGTCGTTTTAAAACCGATTGATATATATATATATATATATATATATATATATATATATTATATATATATATATATATATATAT